TTTTTTTTTTTTTTTTTTTGCCTACACAGGTCTTTAAATACTGGTTCAAGAGTCACTTTTCCATCTTATGTTGTGAGCATTTTACCCCTCATATTCTGTGAGGTAAAATGTTCCCAAGCATTAGCTAAGTTAAAACATAAATAAATGTTTTAACTCAAATAATTATTTTGCACAGTTGTAATGTAACAATCTAACCTTATATGTACAATCTGCTGTGATAAAGAACGATGTGTACCATGGAGTTTCAGTCAATCTGCTCTCTAATCTCTCGTTTGCTCTGGAGAGGAAAATAAACTGCTACTTTGCAGTCCTGGACTGGGCTGTCTGCACCAGAGAGCATGGCTAGCCTCACCTCTCTGCTCCCTAGATGAGGAAGTGAGGGCTGGCCTCATTGGCTGCCTCACTGCCTGCCGCCCCCCACTTCTCCCTGCCCTCTTCCCCCCCTCCCTCAAGGCAAACCTAGCTGGGGTCTGGGGAGAGGGGTAAAATTTCCCTTTTTCTGAGTATGGAGTTGCCTTGCCCTGCTTGCTTAGTGTTGGCTGTGACTCTGGTCTACAAAACCCAGAGGCACCTGGAAACAGAAAGAGGAAGTAATGAGCAACCCTCCAGAGTCCTGCTGCTGTAATTGTAGACCACAAATCCCAGAGACCTTGGGGGCAGCAGGAACAGGAAGCAAACACATGGCCCATGCTGGCTATGTGGCCAGAGAATTGTGGTCTAGCATGCTCCACTACAGGTATGTGGCTGCATTTCCTGAATCAAAAGTGAATGTCTGTGCATTTTCTTATTAGTTCAATCGTTGCAGCTTAGACTAACCTGCAAAGACTGAATCAATTCAGCCTCAGGCCTTTTGACTGTCTGTATTTAGCCTTAGTATCTCTCCTTAGCATTGTGGTAGGATTTACTGTGCCACAGAGCCTCACTAATATGTATTGATAAGTGGAAGACCAACTTAAGAAAGCTCAATTTTGAATATTAGAAAACTAAATTTTAAAATCATGAATATTGCCTTATAAAATATGCTTAGTTTATTTGGACATAGAAACTGCAATATCTCATAATATAAGGTAACATATACTTGCAGAAGTACTTAAGAACATGACATCTCAGAAGAATGATCCTTTTCAGGAAGGTCTAGCTGTGAAGAAGAGCAACATCACAGAGCTCTATTAGGATCATCTGCTTTTCAAACAAAAGGAGAATATCAGAAGGTTCTTCTACATAACAAAAATGTCTCTCTAAACTGAAAACAGTTTGCATGTCTGGAAGTTTTGTATTGCTTTTTTTCCTGGCATACTAATATAAAAAGGGTTTTCTTTTTTCAAGATCTACCATTGATAGAGCTCCATACCTGTTTTTAAAAACAACAATATACTACAATTAATAACCAATCAGTGAACTTAATTTTTTTTCTGTGTACTTGAAATGTGCACCTCTGGGGTGCTGAAGGTATTCAGATTTATGCCGCAACCACATTAGAGAGGTTTACCAAAAGTACATAACATATACTGTGTCACAGTTTATTTCTTAGCAACAACAGGGTTACTTAGACTGGGAATGCAACTTTTTAACTGCAGTCTCTCATTCACATATCTCCTGTTATCAGTAACTAAAGTCAAAAAAAGGATTTATTGCAGAAAAGTGGGAGGTGGAAAAGGTTGAAACAATAGTCAGGCAACACAGTCGGTGTAAACAAGCCATAAAACTCCAACTTGGGGTGGCAATTCTGGCACCCTTGTTAGACCAGTTGTAAAGGAGACTCTCACAATATTTGAACGTGGC